TCAGCTCAAGGCTAGCGCTCTACCACTTGAGCTACAGTGCCACTTCCGGCTTTTTTCTTTTTGCTTATGTGGTGCTGAGGAATCGAACCCAAGGCCTCAGGCATGCAAGGCAAGCGCTCTACCCCTGAGCCAACTTCCCAGCCCTGCTTTAGTGTTTTATGCTGCAATGGTACTATGTTCTTTGGGTAACTTCTTTTTTAAAGAAAGATAGTATGGAGAAATAATTCTAGAGTGTGCTATTATTACTTTAGATATTTTCTCTTTTAATTTTATGTACTATATTTAGTTTTTGGTACTGAGGAATCAAACCCAGGGCTTCATATATACTAGGTAAGCAATCTACCACTAGGCCATATTCCCAGCCCCACTATTACTACTTTCATTCTTTATATTTACATTTTTATATAAAATGAGCATGGTAACAGTCACAAAATTACAACTCATTTATTAACAGTGTTACATGACTGCAATATAAAAACATTTTCTGTCCTCAAAGATTTTAGGCAAGCAGAGGATGATGGAGGACTAGAGAACTGAATGCAATCAAATATAACAAGGGCAATGGCAAGTCTACAACCCACAAAGAGGTATATATGGGCAACTACCAATTCTATGTTGAGGTGATAATGTGAAAAGCTTCATAACATTGATACAGATTAAGTTGTATTTAAAAGTAAATGGAGCTAGGGCTAGGAAGGTGGTTCAGTGGTAGAGTGCTTGCCTTGCAGGCATGAGGCCCTGGGTTCGATTCTTCAGCACCACATAAGCAAAAAGAAAAAGCCGGAAGTGGCGCTGTGGCTCAAGTGGTAGAGTGCTAGCCTTGAGCTGAAGAGCTGAGGGACAACACTCAGGCCCAGAGTTCAGGCCCCACGACCGGACCCAAAAAAACAAAAGTAAATGGAGCTGGGCACCGGTGGCTCAGGCCTGTCATCCTAGCTACTCAGGAGGCTGAGATCTGAGGATCACGGTTCAAAGCCAGCCTGGGCAGGAAACTCCGTGAGACTCTTATCTCCAATAAACCACCAGAAAAACCGGAAGTGGTGCTGTAGCTCAAGTGGTAGAGTGCTCGCCTTGAGCTGAGGGGCAGCGATCAGACCCAGAGTTCAAGCCCCACGACTGACCCCCCCCCCAAAAAAAAGACAGGGGTTGGGAAGGTGGCTCAGTGGTAGAGCATTTGCCTTGTATGAATGAGGGCCTGGGTTTGATTCCTCAGCACCACATAAACAGAAAAAGCTGGAAGTGGTGCTGTGGCTCAAGTGGTAGAGTGCTAGTCTTGAGCTAAAATGCTGAGGGACAGCGCCCAGGACCAAAGTTCAGGGCCCATGATCAACCAAAAAAAAAAAAAGTAAATGGACAACTATAGTGCTGCTGGCTCACAGCTGAAATCCTAGCTACTTAAGAGGCTGAGATCTAAAAACTGAGTTTCAAAGCCAGTTAGAGCAAATAAATTTGAGGACCTCATCTCCAACTAGCAAAAAATTGGAAAAGGAGGTGTGGTAGCGTACTAGTACTGAGTGGAAAAATCCAAGAGACAGGCCCAGAGTTCAAGTCTCAGTATTGATGTGTACATATATACACACACAAAGAAATAGGGAAGAATGGGAAGATAAATTGACTGTAATGAGCAGTACAGTATTTGAATTCTTTACTTTGACCTCAGCTATTACATTAAAAAACAAAACCTGTAATCAATCCTAGCTACTCGGGAGGCTGAAACCTGAGGATCACAGTTCAAAGCCAGCCCAGGCAAAAAAGTCTGTCAAACGCTAATCTCCACTTAACCACCAGAAAATGGAAAGTGGAACCCTCACGCTGGTGGCAGAGCACTAGCCTTGAGCAAAAAAGCTCAGGGAGGGGCTGGGTAGGTGGCTCAGTGGTACAGCGCTTGCCTTACATGCATGAGGCCCTGGGTTCGATTCCTCAGCACCACATAAGCAGAAAAAAAAGCCGGAAGTGGCGCTATGGCTCAAGTGGTAGAGCGCTAGCCTTGAGCTGAAGAGCTGAGGGAGAGTGCCCAGGCCCAGAGTTCAGGCCCCACGACCAGACCCCCCTCCCCCCCAAAAAAAAAAGCTCAGGGAGTGTGCCCAGGCTCTGACTTCAAGCCCCACAAAGGACAAAAAAAAAAAAAAAGACTAGGTGCATGATTCAAGTGTGATACACTTGCCTGGTAAGCTTGAGGCCCCTGATCAACCCTCAGTAACACCAAAACAAAACCTACCAAAAACTACCTTAAGAGTGATATGAATGATCCATCATCCAAGAACAGAATACTTACTGTTTTTTTTTGCTGGGCCTGGGGCTTGAACTCAGGGCCTGGGTGCCCTCCCTGAGCCTCTTTGGGCTCAGAGCTAGCTATTACTCAACTACTTGAGCCACAGCGCCACTTCTGGCTTTTTCTCAGTAGTTTATTTGGTGATAAGAGTCTCATGGACTTTCCTGCCCAGGCTGGCTTCAAACCACGATCCTCAGATTCAGATATCAGCTGTCTGAGTAGCTGGGAGTAGTAGGTATGAGCCCCTAGCGCCAGTGAAGTACTTATTGTTATTGGAACAAAGCACCCAATGGCGCTATGATAGACGCTGCCTTGTTTTTGGAGCTACTTGTAGACCCCCTCACATCAAACTACACGTTGAAAGCAGCAGTCAACTATTTTTGGTACACGAATAAATCAAGAATTTTACCTATCACGTTTATATTTCATTCAACTAGGCAACTATGAGGTACTTTATATTGAAGGGCTACAGAAGGAAAAAATGACACCTCTGTCATAAGTTTTCATAAACTGCTTTTCCAATGTTAGTATCCTCACACAGTCCAGATATTGTTTTTTTCCAGATGATGAAATGGAAGCTCATAATAGTTATGTGACAGAATGGTTACACAGCACATCACACATCTAGCCCTCAAACCGAATTTGTTCACTTCTGTACCCTTTCTCTAATGTTCTGCTGACTCAGGGCAGTGCCACAGAGATTATCATCAACTTTCCCTCAAGTGGTTAACTTGATGGAACTTATCAACTGAACCATCAAGTGGTTAGGAAAACAATGGTTGTTACTGGGAATTAGGAAAGGCTTTTAAAGAGAGGTGGGCCCTTGTAGGGAAGGCCGACGTCATAACAAGACCAACGAAGGGGAAAAAGACACTTTTTGTCTACAAAGGATGCCTAGTAATCTAGTCTGGTGGGCACAGGAGTGGGGGAATGCAGGAAGAGGTTTTAGCTCTAACACACAACTCGGGTTTTGGAGAACACTATAGTCTAGGGCAATGACTAGAGGCTTCAGTCATATGGCCCAGTACTAGTACAAAAAAGTCCTTTGAAAGAAAAAAATCATCCCAGTTGCTGCTGAAAATGCCCTGATGTTTAAAGTGAGGGTTTGAAGGCTAAAGACTAAGGATTATGCAGATGACAACAAAAATGAGGCAGTGTTCTGGGCTTGTGCATGAGCCTCAGAAGTTACTGAAAACACTCACTGCGAAGTTAATTTTATTAAATACAAACATTTCAGAATTACTTGGCTGGAATGGGCTTGCTGGTTCCCTATCTGTGTTTTCCATAAGTTCTATAGTTAGTAATTTTTTTTTTTTAATTAAGGTGCTACCTCCATGTCAACCACCTCCACTGAGATATCTCCTGATGTCTCTCCATCTCAATTAATAGCAGCACCATTCTTTTAGCTGCCTCTGGAATCTAAGTTATACATGTCATATACATGAACTACTTGCCACATATGGCTGACTTCCTATCTCCTCTGCTGTCTGCCTAGTCTGAGCCACTTTCTCATACTCACACAACAGCATGAACTTCCTATTATTCTTCCTAGATCCACACAGCATCCTTGTACAAAGCACACAATTTTCAGTTAACCCTGGGTCCCCATCTTCATTCCACCCCAGCCACATTAGCACCCTTGAAGTTCCTCAAACAGGCGTGGGCCTTTGCATTTAAGAATTCCTTCCAGAGCCTGGTACCGGTAGCTCACTCCTGTAATCCTAGCTATTCAGGAGGCTTTGAGGGTCTCAGTTCAAAGCCTGCTGGGGTGGGAAAGTCCATGAGACTCATCTTCAATTAACCACCAGAAAACGAAGTGGCACTGTGACTCAAGTAGTAGAGCACTCGCCTTGAGTTGAAGAGTTCAGCACAGCGCCCAGGCCTAGAGTTCAAGCCCCACAACAAGACTTCTCCCCCCCCCCCAATTCCTTTCTGGTCTTGGGAATGTGGCTCAGTGGTAGATTGCTTGCCTGGCATGCCATGCATGAAGCCCTGGGTTCGATTCCTCAGTACCACATAAACAGAAAGAGCCAGAAGCAGCACTGTGGCTCAAGTGCTAGAGTGCTAGCCTTGAGCAAAAAGAAGCTCAGGCCTTGAGTTCAAGCCCCACCACTGGCCAGAAGAAAAAAAAAAAGAATTCCTCTCAGCTGGGCCATTTTACTTTATAATCATCTGACACCTAATGTTGATGAACTACTATTCTTAGCCTCAGGAAAGTTTCCTTCCCTGTTCAATTGGTGCCGATTACTGGTCCCACAAGCCTGAGAAGGGGTAGAAGGACTAAGTTTGGGGGCAAAAGCTGACAGTGATAGAATTGATGAAAATGTGAATATGAATACACCTGCCCAACTCTGAAATGATGGAGCAGTAGAAACCGATAGCATAACGGGTGGGAAACAGCCACGGAGAGATGCGGCGGCACTTTACCTGAGCAACAGGCACGGCACACAGGGTTACGCCGAACCCGGCCACCACAGCTTTGTGCCACGGTCTTACCAATTCTGCGAAGCAGCGTCTCTTGGAGTTCACCACCACAGGGACACACTGTCTGTACCTGCAAGCAGAAGTCCAACTGGTTGAGCCAAGTCTGCGGGCCGCTCCAGGCGCCCGCGCCGCGCCGCGGGGCCCGGCTGCACTCCCGTCGGCAGGCAGGCTTAGCCGCAAGCCCAGGC